GGGGTGTATCAGTGTAAGCTTTTCTCTGCAGCTGCCGTGAGCGCGGATGATAAGCGAGTGTATTAGCGAGTTCTGCGATATATAGATGGAAGCATCAGCAGCATCCCCGCCGCGCAGCATCGATCACCAGTCTCCCTACGATGTTTCACGTCATCAATATGGCTTCATCTCTGCATCCATCGCAGCATCATTATAAACGACGCGTTACTATGTATATATACCACCCTATATATATTTATATACTATATATATCACGAGCCTCATAAACCTAAAAAATAAAACCAAATAATAACCAGTATTTATTTAGAGCTCTTATATTATATATAGTATATTACTTTAAATTATGATCATTTCATCATCATCGTCGTCGTCCTCGTCCACCTCCCCCTCCACCTCATCATCGTCGTCTTCGTCGCCGCGTGTCCCGTCGTCGGTCACCATCAACATACGTCCAATACATCCATCACCATCATGTTCGTCCGTCATCACTCGGCCGGCTAACCTTACTTCACGCCGACTGTTTCACGGCTGATGAACAACGACGAGGATGTTCACTGTTCCTAATCTGTTTCACTGCGTGTTCATCATATTCACGGCACTCGTACTTCACACACGCAAACACACAATTATTTAGGACCAGTCGCAAATATTTATATTTAGGATAGTCCCCAATATTATTAGCGATTATTTAGGATTATTAGGACAGTCACCATTATCAACAAACAAAAACCAATTAATATTAATAGTATCAGAGTCCAATTGAAAGATCCTGTTAATATTATCTCTTAACAAACTAACTGTTCGCTCAAGACTCGAACCCAGCGGATGCAGCAAGCGGGAAAGGGGCTTCGCGGATGCAGCGGCAGGTTATAAAATCCAGTTAGCAGTATCCCTCTCTCTCCCTCCCTCCCCTCTCTCTCTTCCTCACTCTCTTCTTCTCTCTCTCTATCTCTATCTCTCTGCATCATCTCATCTCTTATCTCTAGCTCTATCTCCTATCCTCTATCCTCTATCTCTCCTTACCTTTCCTCTCCTCTCTCTCTCTCCTCTAACTCCTCTCTCCTCTTCATCTCGCCTCTCGCTCTCGCCTCTCGCTCTCGCTCTCTCTCTCGCTCTCTCTCTCTCTCTCTCTCTCTTCTCTCCTCTCTCTCTCATCTCTCTCTCGCTGAGCTTCTGCCACACAACAAATCTCTCCGACTTCGCTCTAAGATTCACGCGGACGGAGTGATGAAATGCGTCATGCTCCCCCCCCCCACACGAAGTACACGTTCTCATTTGCTTCTAAGTTGCAGACACTCCACTTAGCATATACACATATCACAATGAGCGTGTCTGTATCACCATCGGCGAAGTTCACACACCGCAGCCCTCATGAAATCGCTATCGTGTAAAATCTATGAAGATGTTTCAATATTGACAAAGATCCGCTTTCCGAGTAAATACGCCGCAGCAGTGCAGAGGCACGACCACAAATATCACATGTTGGGCAAAACACACGCACGCACGCACGCAAACGCACACACGCAGCAACGCACACACGCTCACGCACGCACACTAGCGCATGCGCCACGCTCGGCACGCGCACACACGCACACGTACACGCACACGCACACGCCACACGCCACACACACACACACACACACACACACCACCAACACACGCACGCTCGCACGCCCCCCCCCACACCGGCTATCTTCCTAGCAGCCAGAAGTAATTACTTTCAATAACGACGCGCCGCCGCCGCAACTCCCACAGAGACACCAGGATGCGCGGCGAGTTTATGAATCATTTCCTCATCTGATGACATCTCACACTACAATAGCGCACCGCACGAGCGCAAACGATAATGGCTTGGCTTAGCAGACGCACCGACGACCAATCAGCGCCACCTCGTTGTCAGTGACTCCTGGGAGGGGATTCATCTATTGGTTTAGACGCAAACTGTCACTTGTATGTTTGTCAATTTCGCTACGCCCGTATATGCACTTCTGAAGCGTGGCCCAGTGGTTGGTCGCGTTACAGAGCCAGGCGAGAAATGTTTTGGACAGTTGTGCAAATTCGCTGCGTACCCAGAGGTCGCGCATTCATGGTCATTTACCGTAATACGGCTCATCAGAGACCGACTCATCTTGTAAGACTATAACGCGCTTAAATAGCATGGCGCACTCCGAGGGGGGTCAAATCTGCGCCGAAATAACGTTAGAAATTTACATTAACATAGAAATTACATTAGCATTACATACACGATAGACCGACGCGAATAAAAACAAGCATGCTGCCAACACACACACACACACACACACACACACACACACACACACCACACACCACACACACACACACACACACCACCACACACGCACGCACGCACGCCACTGCCACGCACGCACGCACGCACGCACGCACACAACAACACACACACACACGGCCCCCCGTGACGAGACGACCGCACTGCTACATTGCTTACTATTTTCCATTCTCATCTCATGTAAGTTATATATACAAACGATCGATTGCGGTACGGTTCTCCCGAAAAGCACATTTTAAGCAATACCCCTCCCCCTTCCTCCACCCCACCCACCCCCGCGTTCGTTCGTTTCACATGCGCGACGAAGTTCTGTGCTCCGTTGTGCTATTGACACATTGCCGGACTGTATTCACTAAACTTCCACTAAATCGATTCATTTTGCAGGCCGGGGGGACTGGGAGCTAGGCTGAGTGTTTGCCGCCAATTCTCAGCTGCCAACCTGTTCAATCCGTAAATAACATGTTAGCACAACCCCGTATTACCAGCCACTGTTAAGACGACATCAACTCGATTTCTCAACAACATTGATTCCAATTGATTGCACCGATTCCAATTTACATGAATGTGTGTTGTTGTTGTTGTTGCTGTTGTTGCTGCTGCTGCTGCTGCTGTTGTTGTTGATGTTGATGTTGATGTTGTTATTGATGGTGATGTAGTTGTCGTTCTGTTCGGTTCGTCTCAGCACATATATATATATATATATATATATATAATTTAAATATATTATATATATATTATAAATATATATATATATAATCAAGAGCAAATAATACCTTATATTACCTAATAATAACTGTATTCTTTAAGCTCTTATATATATTATATATATATATATATACATTTAGTGCGTTAACTTGAATTTACAGCTTGGCGTCTCCGCTAACGACTTCCGACATTTTACGACAAAATGAGAAAGCGTAAAGGAAACGAGAAGTATGACCATCATAGCAGTCTAACGGCCGCAGTGTGGTTGGCAGACGCCTGCCGCGTCCTGTATTCATGAAAGATCGTCTGTACGCGTAGGTAGAACACGACAAACGCGCTATCCTATCGTATTCCCCGATTGATTTGCCCGCGTGAGAAACGAATAGCAGACTTTGGACACCTCCCGGGGAGGTTCCCACAATGCCAGCCACCTTCTTATAAAGGACAGTGCTGCCTAGAGCGGCTCTTGATGGAGGGAGAGAGGGAGAGAAAGAGAGAGAAAGGGAGAGAGAAAGAGCGAGAGAGCGTGCGGAGAGAAAGAGCGAGAGAGAGAGAGAGCATGAGAGAGAGCAAGAGAGAGCGAGAGAGCGAGAGAGAGAGAAGAGAGACGAGAGAGAGAGAGAGAGAGGAGCGAGGAGAGAGAGAGGAGAGACGGACCGTTCTCTCTTCCTCTCTCTTTCTCTCTCTCTTCCTCTCTCTTTCTTTCTCTCTTCCTCTCTCTTTCTCTCTTTATCATCTCTTTCTTTTTCTCTTTCCCATTATCTCTCTTTCTCTCTCTCTTCCTCTCTCTCTCTCTTCCTCTCTTTATCATCTCTTTCTGTTTCTCTTTTCCATTATCTCTCTCTCTCTCTCTCTCTCTTCCTCTCTCTTTCTCTCTTTATCATCTCTTTCTGTTTCTCTTTCCCATTATCTGTCTCTCTCTCTCTATGCCTCCCTC